AAAAAAAAAAAACTATTATATTTTATTATTTTTTTAAATTTTCTAAGTTTTTATAAGTTTTGTATATAAAATTTTTAATATTAATTTTTTTATATTAAAGTTAATATTAAGGTTAGAATAAGAGTTTAAGAAAGTTTTTAGAAATATTAACATCTTTATTTAGAATACCTTATATCAATTAATTAACCAGTTTTTGAGATAATATATACATAGATATAAAATACTATAGATGCATTTTAGTAAATTCTAAATTTATATAAATAACTATATAAATCTATATTAAGTTTATAAACTTTTTATAAAATTCTATATAATTTTATATAAAAATTTTATATAAATCTATATAAAATATACTTTATATATTATATAGATAAAAATTATTAATAAGAATATTGTGATTATTAAAATTATATAATATAATAGAATTATATAACTACTCTAAATTATAAATATATTAAAATACTAATAAACAAATATACAATTAACTAATTAAATATAACCAAAATAATTAATTTTATTATATTTTTATAAAATAGTTTTATAAGAAATTTATAACTCAGAGACCAATCAACTAATTATGCAAAGTATATAATTATGCAATATAAATTATTATTATATATTTTTAATAATTACTAGAATTAACAAAATTCTTCTATATATAGTATATATATACTAAAATGATTTTTATATTTTTTAGCTTAAAACAAATAAAATGGATTGAAGATGATGCATAGCAATAAAATTCATGAGCTTTAAGTTAGGGTTTAAAACTGTTTAATTGGTTAAAATTGCTCTATAGTTCCAGGCAGAGTTATGTTGATCAAGAGCTAGAATTATTTTAATGCTGGCCAAAATAAACAGTTAAAACAATTAAACAATTAAACGATTAAGAAAAATTTTAGGCAGTTCCAATCCCTACTTCAAGTTAACTAAGTTGAACACGTATCTTTGACTAAATATATAAGCACAGGTAAAACTAATTAAAAAAGTACTATTAACAATAAAGATTCATAAACTATTTACCTTATTAATATATTAAATAGATAATCTTTATACTTCTAAATCGACGATAATAAAATGAATTAAAGACAGTTAAATTAATATGAATAAATAAGGTTAGAATTTAATTAAAACTTATTATTACAACTATTTTAGCAGAGTTCCCATCAGGGTTGAAAATACTATAGTGATTTGTCATCCATTTTACTGCGCCAATGATTATCTTTTTTGATCTATCACTATTGAATAAAATGTATTATAAATATACTATAGATCAATAATAGATGGCTGGCAAATTACTATGACCTGGTTCCTATCCATAAATTGTTTAGCTTTATATCTATTTAATAGATAATTGGTTAATAAAACGGATTAATAGAAATTTTTAATAAATTATTCAGATTTACTTAATTGCAGCTCTAAAGTAATCAACAATATAAATTCATTAACAATTACAAATGCTAAGATAATCAACAATATAAATCAAGGAGATTCTATTTTCATCTAAATGATACTAAATTTCTCTAATTTATATTGTTGATTATCTAACGCAGATAATTCAGTTCAGATATCTGATCTAATAAGATAGATATTCAGATATAGTATTGTGTATAAATGGATAGCGAATTAATCCGAATTGGAACCAGGTTCTTGATTCATATTAATTATTAGTTTACTTATGTCTATTGGTAAACTAAAATATTCATACTATATAGTATAAATTTGATTTATCAAAAAGATGCTTCAACCAATAGGTAGCAGTATAGTAAATGACTGGCGTATACTATGTGTCGTTTTAGCCCTGGCTGGAACTCTATATACCAATAAAAAGAGTCTGAACTGCCTTTAACTAAAAATTCGTTAAATATACAGATTCTGCAGACATATAAATAATATTTTAAACCAAAAAGAAAATTCTAATTTTATTACCATAAACTGTATTCGCAATTATTTCTCATTCTGCTCACAGAACAGGAGAATTCTGTACAAGTTCTGCTACTGCAGAATCCTAGACACTAATAATAATAAAAAGACGACGCATCATCCTATCTAAATCAATGTATAATACTCGTTAAATAAGAATATTAGTAATTTTTTTAAATATAATGTTTGTAGCTTATTAAATAATAAAATCTCAGAATAAAATAATATTCGAAAATAAAAGAAATTAAATAACTACTCTTTTTCTTTTTGTAGCACAATTTTAACTTCAGTAATCAATTAGTCATTTTGTATAGCAATATACAATCTGTTAAACAAATAAAAAATAACAACTATTGATATTGATAAGATGCATAATATTAATTAAGAGATTTAGTTTAACAATCTAAAAGTTTTTGCACTGGTAACAACTTTACTATTCCAAGTTTAGTAGAGATTTTCAGATCGATAGTGTATTCATCACACTTTTTGATAATATTTTGTATATCCTTATTATTGTCTTGAGCAATAAGAATAGCTTTGATAATCTGGTGTATAAAAACACCAAGTTTTGTAAAAATTTTAGGCATTTGTCTTAATTTTGCTTGATCAGTTGCTCTTAGATGCATTTGTAATACAGGTTTCCATACTTTGACCGAAACAAATTCATCTAATTTTAATAGTTCCTCTGTATTATTTATTATTGAGCTAGATTGTTAATTTTTTTAAAAAACATTAATATACTATTTATTTAATATTTTTTATTACGAACCTTTCATTTATTGATCTAAATTCGGTTGCCAACTTTACTACCGCAATATGAAATTTGTGACAATACAAATTATACCATCCATCAATGTCTTTAGTTAAAGATCCTAGCCTTTTGTCCAGTTTGGTGATTTTGCAAACTCTAATAATTATTTCTTCATATAATACCGTATTATTATTTCTAGTTCGAAGAAATAACACCTTGCACTTTTTTTGCAATTGAAATTTTGTATACTAAATTTAAATAAAAAATTAATATAATTAGACTTTTTTGTAATACAGCTCTATTTAAAAATTGTTAGTGGTATAATTTGCCACTTTTCATCATTGTCTTGATCTATTTTTAATATTTTGTTTTAGTATAGCCCAGATTAGAGGCCAGGCTGAAATTAGACAATTTTTAAAACCTCACAAAATTGCAGGTCTAATATATTATAAACATATTAAAATGCAGGCCGAACTTCTAAAAAACATAAAATTTATTTTGCGGGCTATGCAGTCCAGTAAAAGTAGAAATTTTTGGGCCTGTTCAGATCCTTAGCCCGGATACTCTTAATAGAATTGGGACTAGGCTATACGAAGGTCAGTGTAAAATCAATTTGATAATCACAATACCATATAAGTCGTGTTATAATAGTAGTTATATGATTTCAAATTGTACCACTAATAGTTTTCGTGAAAATTTCAAGAAAATACTATATCTTACTTGGTCAATTTGTTTCATTGTAGGTTCGTGCAATAAGGTAGATATTGAGGTTGTATCATTTTCTTCGTCTATTCTTGTTATTATCCTGCTTCTAATATTAGTTGCTAAATCTAATATCCTTTTATAGTATGTTAACTACAAAGCAATTTCAAATTCATTATCTGCTTGTTGAAACTGTACTGGTCGTTTTGGCAATAAATTATCTATAAATTAAAAAAATATTAAAAATGCTTATTTATAAGGCTATGCAAAGTTAGTTTTCTGGTTTTCATATCATTAAACTTCTAAACAGACCCAGCCACCCTATTTTTTTTAAAAAAAATTATATATATATAAATTTTATTAGAATATCTACCCAGTTATTGTACTTGCAAATTTTTAAATTTTAAATTGAAAAAATTGACCCACTGGGATATGAAAACCAGAAAATTTGCTTTGCTTTGCCTAATTTATCATTATTTATAAATTGACATAGAGATTAGAAAAGGTGTGATAATGTTACCATTTCTGTTAGCTCTTCCTCAATTCGCAGAAATAATATCTCTTCACCAGTTTACAATAATGTCTCTTCACCAGTTTACAGTAATAATGTCTTTTTACCAGTTTATGGAAACAATATTTTCTTATCAGCTC